GAGTCACCGTGACTTGGTCTGTGGGGGAGTGTTGAAATTATGGAGTTCTGAGATGAGTCAGGTAATGCTTAATGGAAGTAATTGATGAAGGGTTCGGTTGTTGAGTTTTCTATGATTTCTGTGTTGGGATACACTATGTCGATCCTACTAGGCTCGATAATCAGTAGTCCCGACCGACTGGTGTTTGGCGAACGGAGATTGCGTATACCCTGTGCTAGCGTTGTTTACTGCTGTTAATAGGAGATCCCGCACGGGCTATCTATTGGGGTTAAAAGGAGTCTGGTACCTGTGTTTAACAGAGTAGTTGAATTGACATCCTTTTATCCTTCATTATTGCATAAGCTTCCCTTTATCAATAAAGTCCACGAACTAAGTAGTGGGTTATACATTTCAATAGATTGTATCATTCTACTGTAATGACTGAAGTTGTATGGCCTCATTTTTATTATAGGTGATCTTTTCCTGGCTTGCACTTGATAAAGCCTTCCCAGTCCTTTAGCCCTTCTACCCTCTTCCTGTCTCAAGACTTGGGTCTCCCAGTCATTTTGCCAGGCTTTGAGAGTCATTTCCTTTGCCTTCTGCTTAAGGTAAGCAATTGTTGTGAATTTATCTCTTTTTTTGACTTTTTTCTTGGCTCCACCTCTTGCCAGATTGTCTGCCAGCTCATTTCCAGCAATACCTTCATGGCCTGGACACCAGTGTAGATGAATTTGATATTTATGGCTTTTTATCCTTATTTGATGTGAAATAAAGTTGCTAGCTTTGCTGACCCTCTGAATTGCTGCTTGACCATCAGAAAAGACCCAGATCTCTCTGGAATGTTTATGGGAGATGACATATTTGAAAGCTTTCAAGATACAATATGTCTCAGTATCTGAGATTGTCATTGTATGTCCGAGATTGCAAGAGAAACATTTCACCTATCTTGTGAATGGCAAGTATACCACAAATCCAAGGCTACTTCCATTGTTTTTTTTAGGGAACCATCTGTGTATACAATTGATGCATGATTTGGGATATCTTTTAGCAGAAGAATATGCTCATCCCTTGCTGCATGCTTAGAAGAATTACTTATTTTAGTATCCAGATTATTTGCTAACCATGGTGGTGCCCATTCTGCATTGATTATTTCCAGTCTATTGCAATCTGAGAGTCCTTTGAGCAGGTGTCCAATCTTCATGAGTTGGGTGTTGTTTTCTTGTAGGTCATCAATCATGTCAAGGCTGATGGCAGTACCTATGGACAGCTCATCTTAAACTGAGCTAAGTAGCTGCATTTGTATTGAATGCAAGGGCTGCATCTTTAGTATCCTGAGGGCATAGTTGTAGGCTAGTCTTAGATGTCGCACCTTCACAGGTGGAAGGGCGGCCTCTACTTCCAACGCTTTTGAGGGGCTGCTAGAGTAAGCTCCTGTGACAAGGACTACTGCTCGGTTCTGTAGTTTCTGACATTTTTCAATGAGATGAAGAGATCGGCTCTTCCCATACCATAGAATAGAGCCATAATCTAGCACTGATGCTACACAGGCAATATAAAGCTGTCGAAGTTGATTGAATTTGATTCCTTTAATTGAAGAAGCAAGGTTCTTGAGCCTAAAAAGAGCTCCATTCGTAAGCTGCATTCTCTTGTCAATATGGGTTTTAAATGATAGCTTACAATCAAACTATATTCCTAACCATCTGACAACGCTTTTAGGGCGAAATTTGATTCCTTGAATTATTATGGGCCACGATGATAAGTTACATGGATAACACAACACATAATAAATTTCATTGTAACTTCACTTCCACACATTAATAAAGATATCTCTCTACAAACTATATTAGCTATTCCAGTGCTAATGTACATCCCCCAATCATATACCAATCATAATAATTACTTGATCATCTTATTATGATTAAGGTATGAGTAGGTATGGAATGTTGAATAGGCTAGGGATAGCAGAGAAAAGTGGACAACGAGTATCAGAGCTTAATGATATGATGAATAGCCTAGTTACAATTGTTGAGACCTAATAAATACAATATTATTACGGGTAAATAACGTTTGTGTCACATATTTACCTGACTGCTAGTGAGTGAGTGAGTGTTTATTGTCCTAAAAAGTCTATAACTATGTAAGGACATGTAGGTCCTTTCTGCCTACAGGCTGGGAGTATCTACGCCTCCCTCACGACTTCTTTCCAGAAGTAATACCCCCACAGGTCTTCACTCAAGTACACACTAAGAGGAGCCGTTATCCCGTCATTATCTCCCCTCTCCAGCCAACGAAACGATGGCCATTTGCGGGTATGTAGCTGCAGGGAAAAGTCTCAAAACCCACTGGGTGCGGGGCTCTCCTGTGATAAAGAGGCCGGCCAGCAGGGCGCAGTAGACTTGTGTATACCTAAGAGTGTCTCTCAAACTTCCCAGCCTCCTCCTTCCTCTTTCCATTGATTCATGCCGCAGGACAAATCGTGAAATGATTTCAGAAAAGTCTTGGTCGAGAGTGACTGTCGTGAAGGAGCCTAGTGTAGTATCCAAAAGTTGTTACGGACGTGGGGTCGTCGAGTAACTCATGTATTTCAGATGCCCTCCTGGCTTGTAGATTCGGAAGTTAAGATTAGTAGGGACTATGATGTAGACGAGTCGAAATCTGCTTTTCTTGAGGGCGGAAGGGTCTTTTACTTTACTTTCGTGGGCTTTGTGTTTGCCCGCCGGTGGGTAGCACATGTTGTGATATAACGAGGGCTTCTCTGACAACCGTTGTAGTGTTTGGTACCGCATTATCTTTCCTCATTTCCAGAATCATTATCGTCGTCTTGGTCGTCTTATGTGTTATCGGAAGCGTATCTTTGACGGATGGGGAGATAACTCAGCTCAAAGTTGATAAGGTGTTACTCAATCTTGGCTCTGCAGACTCTACAGTGATAGCTGGAGGTTCGTAGGGGACACCACTGACAAGTGTTGAGAATAGTCCCCCTCTGACTGTTAGTGGTCACCAGTTGGGCAGGAAATCTGCATGACATGTTGTGTTGAGAAAGATCCAGGTCACATGATAGTGGCTTTCGTATATTAAACAAGAGGCAGGAAGACAGGTCACTCGCTCCGTTTAGGACACGAGTAAGGGACATGAGTAGAAGACATTAGTGTTGGCTCTACAGAGCTGGATTTTTCGTGGACCATGAATGGTGTATATATGACTGGAAATGTGTATTGTAATTTTGTTAAATCTTTATTAGTATAACAATTGTTATTTCATTCCAACAATAATCATCTACATATTACGGTGGTAGATAGGACTTATATACACATATTTGGTACCCTGCCATACAGTACATCACCGTCAAGGCAGGAAGTACTACAATCCTAATTCCATGTCATACTTTCCCACATTACACTATGCCATGGTGTAGCTGCGCCCCAAAAGTCGACCGTAACGATGGTCATGTAGGGCTGTGCAGTACTCGCATACATGTACTGTATCCCTAACACTTGGCCGAGATAAATTTTAGAGTAAATGCGATAATCACGTCACAACACATCTCACTCCGTAACGTCGACTCTCAATACATATGTGTCAGAAACTGGCATAGGTATCCTTGGTCTGTAGGCAGAGAGGATCTGCATGTTCTACATAGTCGTAGACTCAGAAAGGACAATAAAATTAATTAATGAATATGTCAGAAAATCGGAATGGGCTCGATGAGTAAGGCGACTCAAAGAGAGATGTGTGTTTATTGTAATACTTGAGTCAATGACTATCTAGCACATAGAGCTCCTCTCTGAGTCAAGCCACACCTTGTGCAATGCTTCTATCCTCTGTTGTTACTCGAAAGATCATTGACATACTGTCAAACATCTGATGGTTTGGAACCTACTGAATATGGTAATGAGAATCATTGGATAGTGGGATGACACATCTTGTCAGATTAACTAACTCGACCTTTGATATCTCACCAGGGATATGGTGTTCAGGATGATTAGGATGTTCAGGATAGTCAAAGCTCTAACATGAGATCTTTTGATCTTCAACACATGTAATATATTTCATATTTAATTTTGGGAAACGAGGAGAAGATAATCTCTCCTCGAAATAGTTTCAGATGGATATATAGCATCACGGCTGGAGAGGAGTTGAGGAGCAGAGATTTCATCAATACCACTTTACTTTACAATTTTTCATTTGACCCTCAGTTTCTAACACATTCTGACAGTGTTGGATAGCGATTCAGCTCTACATTTATGCGTGGAATCCAGCCACATTTTCCACGGAAACCTCCACTCAAAAAAATAAAGGTAGCAATGGAAACCACGCGAGCGGCAAAAAGTCTCGAGACCCCTGCAGCCCCAGCCAAGCGAGGCCTAGACACCGGGACCATATGAGGTGCGCATATTCATCTGTATCTATTGTGCTGGTGATAGCCTGGATTACGATGTACAAGGGTAATGATCACTGAGGGAGAAGGAAGAACTTTCCTGGTGGTTCCATTTTGAGTAGAGGAACAATGGAGCACTGTATAGAGAGTGTTTCTACATTATAGTACCAGACGGAGGATATTAGAATATTCAGTGATACTGTTCCAGGAAAATTAGACGGGTGTCTAGCTACCTCAGGTGTGAATATAAATAGCATTTTCTACCTCCTAGATCCTCAGTTCTGAATACCAAGAATATCAGCAGCTCACATTGATTTATGATTAATCATCCCTAAACCTTAAGCCAATAAATCCTCCGTAATCTCTTAGCCTTACGACAATATCCCGTTATCAATGCATAGGCTTCCGTGAGACCACATGTTCCGTGTACCTATTGAACAGTTACACTTCATTAACAAAAGTAAATGATTTATTCATACATTAATTTCCAATTATTCATTCGCAATGGTCTTTGAAAAAATTATATTAAAAATAATATAAAAGAAGACATGAGTTAAAAATTGACTCCCTCGAATATCTATCTTATGCAAAAGCTAAAACTACACGACCTAATTATTAGGCCATAACCTACAAGATTGGGATGTTAGTTATGCTCTTGATAATCACCGGGATAAGCCAACCAATCTAGCAACGTCTTATTCCACTGAACTATTCTACAGCTCTGATAATTCCCTGGAACCTTGTCGCGACTCACTTGTACAACGCTTAAAACCTTACAATCTGAAGGTTGGAAAACGACAAAGTCAGAGCCAGGCTCAGCTATCATAATTGTTAGTAAATCATAATTTTTGGCTAGAAAGAGCTAAGTTAGAAAGTCTTCCTCTTGCTCCCCCACCAGGCTCCTTTATTTTGTTGAATGCGAACGATACAATAAATATCACCCATAAAAGCACAATAAATATCTAAATGTCTAAAAGGAAAGGAAAATATCTTACTCTGCATTGGCCGTGGCAAGGGCATAACCTGTGCTTCTTTCGAAAAACCAAACTTTTCATATTGTGGAAAAGACATTGGGTAGGGGTCGTCCTGAGTCCAAAAAGAGTGCATTTCCCTGTCCAGCTTTTGTTTCTCCGTCATTTGCAGTCGCTTCTTAGCAATGCCACAGGACTGTTTTACTACTTTCCGTAGACCCTCAATACGGTAGTTATTTCCCCAGCCTGAGTCCTCAGGGAAATCGAGTGCGTCACAGCGATACCCCGTTCGTAGTGGTTTAGGCTTTCTCTTTTCAATTTTGGAAACCCCCAGAGTATAAAGGGTTCTAGCGTGGATCGAGAATATAAATATGGAAGTTGTGAGGGCTAGAAAATTGACAATAGCAGAGGTGAATCTCATTGTGAGAGAATGGTGTGTAGTTAGAAAGGTTTTTTGGATGGCGAAAGGTGGAAACTGTGAGATTATAAAAATGAGGTTGAATATGAATGAATCCAATGAATTATTAGAGTGAAGCGAAATAAGTGATACTAGTAATATCGTGAAATCCATGGTATATCTAATGCTTCTTATACTGCTGATGAAGGCTAATATTTCAAGCAAATCTGACTCTTTTCCAGCCTGTCGTAGTTCTCGAGAGATTTTTACCGCCACTGAACAAGGAAGGAATCATCGGCTGGTAAAGCTTCGAATATCCGCAAGCTAACTTTCATGAACCCAAAGAATAGAACTTAGCAGCCCCTAATTTTGTGTAAAATTGAGTATTGTAAGAGAGCCTCGGATTTCAGTCAAACTTTGCCGCACTGTAGCCAGAATAATGTACTCTGAACGCACCAATATCGCCACTTTGATGTTATAGACAATTTCTAAATCCCACAGCTATGCTAGTGCAAGAGCTCATATACACATAGCATTTCATAGATAGACAAAGATTGGTTCATCCTCAACCTATCTTGCAGTCTGTGTCGTCTTCATCATTCAGTATAACCTAATGGCACTATTATCATGAAGCTAACAGCAATCAGATCAGACGTTAGGGTTGAAGCCTTTCTTATCACCCACTCTTAGTCATGGAGGAGTTGCTCCCCGATGAATTTCCGAAGCATACCTACCTCTCGATGTGGCATGGTGGGTTGGATAAATTTGGCCTTTTTCGTTACAATGAAGTAGGACATAGATGAATAATCGCATCTTGCCTGGCTGTGTCTGCAGGTTATTTGAGGATTTTCTCGCCCACGCAGTTTCCATTGCTACCATTTTTCTAGAGGGGGCAGAAAGTTCCGAGGGAAATTTTGCTAAATCCCACGGGTAAATACTGCTCTCAATGGCTATCCTTTACTAGCAATATATCAGATGCTTTCTTTGTAGCAAAACAGGATAAGAACGCTGTACAAGGTGTGGCTTGGAACAGATATAAGTTCCAAGTGCTGGATAGTTACACTCAAGTAGTACAATAAAAATATTAACCTAATATCGCCACCATGACGACGGCGATTCAAGCCTTGTGTTTCTGGGTCTTGTTTGCTGGTTAGTTAAAAAATTTGCAGTAAACTAGTATCATTAAGGCTATTCATTAATTATACGTTTATTCCCTCTGGGAAACTGGTCGCATGAAAAGCCAGGCTTAGAAGCACGGGCGATAACTATTTTCTGTGTTGGACTGGTAAATCCAATAATTGATTGTATCACTCGTAGCGATACTACAACAGTTTAAGTAAGAAGACTTTCTATTGCTCATGTGCGAAATGACATCACGTAGCTTCAGATATTGAAGGCGTAGAAATGGACTAGAAGCCTTGATTTCTGATTTCGAGCCAGGGGCCAGTGCGCAAAAGTGGTGAGCGATGATGATCTTTTGTATTTATTCATTCAAGAGCCTTGGACAACAAACTTCAATCCCATTCAATTGCTAACTTATTCTGTATAGCTTATACCGTCACAATTTTTTTACCGTTACTCTACTAATGATACAAATATTCATAACCTCTCATTAACCCCACCTCTACTCTAACGGTATGAGATCACTAAATTTCCAGTCGATGGAGTTTTTCGGCCGAGACTCAAGCATTATTTCGTTTGTGTATATTTTTATATTCGGATAATGAGAGACCATTCAGAGTAAACACTAAGCGAGGATGAAACTAGTTCACGTTGATTAGATATAGCTCTAATTAGAGAGATCTCCTCTTGCGCGGAATATTTTATCAATGAGAAGTGCTTAATTCATCATCTTCTAACTTAATGTACTTAATTATTACTCTTCGTGTCGGTCGGTAGTATACACGTGCACGCGTACGCAGTAGGTCTCTCGATAATGTGACGATTCTTATTAGATACAGGCGTGTCAGCCTAAAGGGCGACACGCCAAGCTGCACCAATCCACGTGACTAACTAACTATCAACATATGGGTATCTCTCTCTTGACTCATGTACATCCTAAAATAGTATTGCGACACTTCGTGTTATATGGGGTGCTCTAAGTTAAATTCCAGTTTTCAAGGATGTGCTTACAGTAAATAATTGAAAATGTAGCCAATAATAATGGAAATAGGCTTTCATTCATTTCTCTAGTGTAACGTTCTATATAGTATCTATATACGGAACCATGAAGAAGTCAGGCCGTTTCACTTATGGAAAAAGCTTTCAACAAAACAAAACTCACTGTCCTGCCACTCGGAACCGACCCGGCTTAATGCTGAGGAAGTTCCTTCGAACAATTAATTTCATAAACTTTCTCCGAATTTTATTAACCCATTCTTCGATCAGACTATTGCTAGGGGAAACTGAAAAGTGAAGGCACATTCTCACTCGACGTTTATCAAAAAAGTGTCAGAAGAGTCGGCCCCGGTAGTGGTGCGACTATCGCAGGGATATCTGGTGTTATTGGTGCTTCGACTACCTTACGCAGCCGTCCCAGCCCTTCTTTATTGTCGGAATACTCGGGTGGTATTTATATTACAAGCTTTCTGTAGCAGTAATAACAATTGGTGGTTAACATCTATCTTCTATTTCTTGACTTCTAACTAAAGGAAATACGTATATACAGCAGTTGTCCCTCTCTTCTGACGCCATTCCTAAACAGGTAACTCGTTACTCATCAACACAATTAGTCATCATTTCTAAGATATTACATGAAAGGTAATTAAGTCATTAGGCCATTCGACATTTAAGTTCTTCAGCATTTTAACTGGTTAATAAAGCGAATGCCTGATCATCAGTTGTTCCGACTGTTCGCATTGGCGGCATGGTAGGTTTTTCGTTCCATATATCTGCCGTTCTCGACAACAGCTCCATCCTAGTCTTCTCCACTCTTCCCTTGTAGACCTGGCAGGTCTGACACGCTGCCCTGTGCCATGAACGATGTTCCTTGCCATATTTATTTATTTATTTATTTTAGTTTTAAGTCCCAGGCCGTAACCTTCAATCTATTTAGATGTAGGACCGGTGGAGCCGGCCGAGATTTAACCTTTAGGCTTGCCCTACTCGTTCACACCCATTTTAGAGCTAATAAATCATGCGCTCGTTAAATAAATAATGTAGTGAAGAAAAAGAAAAGAAATAAACAAAAGAAATAGTCAATGGTTTTGAGTCAGCAATCCTCATCCTAAGCTCTCCTCCGCCAGCGTATTTGCCCTGGCATTCATCCTAAAACCCGTCCTTGCATTCAGCCCAGAACTAGGATGCGTTGTTCCTTGCCATAGTTCGCGCAAGAAACCCTTTTCCTCGGACTATGCCGGGTTTAGTGAGCGCTAGCGCACTCACTACACCTGACTGTCTTTCCACGCGACGCCTGCCTTTGTCCCCACTGTCTGCAGTTGGAGTACTGCTTTGGTTATGCCCGTGGTGACCACACTTAAGCGGTGAACAGCTTGGCGTTAATTACGAGGCCATGTCGGACCACTTTCGTTTGCATTGCCTCCTATGGGAGGCTTACCACTATTGTTCCACGAGTGCGACTATTTTTCTTTAATCGCTGTTGTCCTTTTCCGTCATGTAACCATCGTGTTCTTTTAGTCGTTAGGCCGGGAATCCGAGCCCTAGTCACCGTCTCAATCTCCCTGATTATAACATGGCTTTCAGTATCTTTGCCGCCATCAATTCTTACCCACAGTGAGACTCCGAAAACCTCGACTGGAAAGTTTTGTCATAAAATCTTAAAATTTTTGGGTTAAGACATGTTAAGCGCCGCGTATCACTAGGATGCTGACTGGATATACACGTTGGTATCGTTGCTTCGCATTTTTCGTATTGCGTATGCACCTTGAATGTGCTCTTTTGCCTTTGATAGCAGCTCTTGGGGCTACATTTTATCTGCTCTATCGATTCCAAGGCGTACTACTGTTTTGGCCATTTGTGGAGCTATGACCGACGCGTAGGTCCTTATTGTCATCATCCCAGATACTACTCCTGAAGCAGCATTGAGAACCGGGTCCACAGGGCTCATCTTTACAAACCCCTCGAGCGTCATCATTCTATCCTAGACTGGAGACGGAATCTACGAAATTAATTTCCAGGCATTCCTTAAACAATTAAAAGCCTTCACGGTCTTGTTGACGTCCTCCATCTCGCCCGTCATAATTATTCTGACATTTTTCAGTATTCTCCCTGTAGTTTTCAATGTTCTTGTCCTATGCAGCTGTCTGCGCTCCGCTGTCTTCGTTTTTGGTGGCCATTGTCGCTTTTTGCGACGCGTCGAAACCGCTGGATCCACGCAGACTAGCAGCTACACTCGCCATGTTGAAGTACAGAAAGCGAATGGATGGCATGAGGGTAAAGAATATGTAAAATAGATGATTCACGTCGTCAAATTGATGGTAATGGCAGCGTGTAGAGCTGCGCAACTTTCTGACAAAAATGATGTATTGTTCGGAAATAAGCATTCGTTAAATCACTTTGAACAAGATTCTAACTTTAAAGGAGTAGGCAGTAATAAACGGAAATTGTATGCAAAGAGAAATTTTCACTACAAAGCTTCTGGTGTGAGGGTTGTTTTAAATACTGACATGCTTGCTTACACTGATGAATTAAGTATGGAAGCTGGGTTTGATCTAATCTCATTAAGCCCGTTCTGGTACCCGACGGGCCCATGCAGGTATTTCCAGCTAAAATATTTACAAAGTAGGAAATCATTTCGATAAAAACTCCCCAAAATACTCATTTCACGTCTATTGATTTATCTGGGATTACCTACAGGGAGTGCGATTACACTGTTCATCTAGTGTAATTTCCGTCATATTTTACCACATCGTTTTATCTTCGTACATTGCTATTATTGGAACATTATCGTGTAATTGATGATACTAGAATGATATGAATAATGATCCTGATAATATTCGATTGCTTGTTTGCTTGGTTACTTGTATCTGAACATGAAGATATGGCTATATCATATACAAGTCCCTTGTGCTAGCCTTTATCCCACATGACTCCGCCACTAACACTTGATTGTAAACTGTGACTCGTTGACTCAGTTACATCTCCTGTTGCCTACGTATCACTAGACCCTTGGTTCACAACTATGACACAATGCTAATTATATGTGATACTCTTTGGCTGCGACCTCCTGACCCGGATGCCTCACCCAAGCATGTATGACCCTGCCTTAAACTCGTCATGCGTGGTGATTTGCCGCCCCTAGCAAGGTACCTATCATAGACCTTATATTTGTCGTAAATAGACATTTACATGTCATGCTCACGATATTCACAACAGCTATCGTTACTTTTCCTGCAAGCCAGAAATGTTCAAACCTGCCTTTTGCCAGGATCTACTTTGTAATTCTCTCCACATCGTCTGGGCTGTTCATCATTGCCGCAAAGGACCTATCTTTTTTGGCAAACTAGGTTTGTTAAATAAATAAATAATTTCGTTTCATTATTTGGCGCCATTAGTTCATACAGATTTTTTGAACGATATTTCTGTCATGTAGAATAACTCAATCTAACATTTGGAACACTCACACTCAAATTTCATTCACAGATACCACCCGAGGTTAATCCTCACAGCGGACAGTCTCTTCTGTGCATACCCACCACAAAGGAAAAGCGTGAAACCCAATTCTTCGAGCATGCTTTTGTCGCCCCACAATTACAATGTCACCGCGAGAGAGTGTGGTGTGTGTGTCTTACTGGATTTGAACCATTTTTTTCCTGTTTCAAATGGAATAGGTGTTAAAGCTACCCAGAACCTACTTGGGAGAACGGCCCAAATGGTGTACCACTGCACCATCCAACCCGCTCAATGTTATAAAGAATAAGAGCCCACACAGAATGCTATTCCTCGGGGGATGTGTGAAGGCCAAGAAAACTTGCGATAAAAACACTGATAATGAGTCTCTCACAGTTTCCACGTCAGGAAACCCCCCAATTGGAGAGGTATTGCTCTGTGGCGTTTGATAGGGTTGGATATGAGGGTCTGAAAATTTTGTGTACCAAACGGAACTAATTTCTATGTTGCTCGTCTCTTTCAAACCCCCCTATCACTAGCACTGCGAGATAGCGCGATACCCGATGACTTCCCTGAAAAAAATTTGATGTAGAATATTTGCTGTGAATTAGTCTAGCCTGATTGCTTCGTGTCTTGTATAGAAAATAATTTCGACAGACTCATTGACAACTGACGACTTCGCAGCTATTGATGGACTCAATCTCAGACTCCCAGACTACAGTGAGAGCTAGAGGCCAGAGGGCGACGATACTGGCACTTGTTGCGTCTTCTTCCCTCGCCTGGGGAGTGAATCTACATTTTTGAATGTGGGGGTGTGTGTAGGCTCTCCTCATTGTCACAGTTGTCTGCCCATATGGAATGTGGAATTCCATTAGTAGAAAATTGGCATAATCTATCACTCTGTGTTGTGTTGAGGCATAATTTCTAGATTTATGCAGCTGACCCTCACCAAAATAGTACACGTGACCAACGCTCAACCAAATGCCCCCTCTTGCCGCGGGCCGTCATCAACTTGTAGTATCATTCTCCAGCTTCCAACAACCCGTAAGCACACCAAAACAATTATGCGCCTAACAATCAGAAGTTTAGCCTGGGCTGTCAGCTCACTCTTATGTGCCTATCAGTTTGAATCGGTCGCAGGAATTTCATCAGATGAAAGCCAGAAAATCATTAGTAATGACAACAAAATTCCAGGAAATAGCCCCGTGGCTTATTGCATTTCTCCCGAGAACAGCATCTTGACTATTAAAAGCGTCATCTTAACACCCTCTACTCCAATTCCGTTCGTATAAAATCCAATCAATTTGCATTTGCACTGCTTACAAGTAGGTGATGGGTAGGGGCCAGAAGCTAAAGATTGAAGCAACTGGAGACCTTTCAGAGGACATCATCGACGGTGCAAGCGTCAAAGTTCAAGCTAAAGTAGGATACATAACTCTCTTGACCTTGACTTTAGATCTCTGTAATGAGATCACCAAGATTGGAGAAAGCTGCCCCTTGAAAAAAGGCACTCATAATATCACACGTGAAGTTGACATACCCCAATACATACCTGCAGTGAGTTATTGTTCCGGCTACAAATATTTTTATATGTAAATCGGATATGAAGAATTCTGCTAACGAGTTGTAGGGATCTTACAAAGTGTCTGCCGACGTTGAATCGGTAGATCACACTCAAATTACTTGTCTTGAAGCAACAATCCGATTTTAATACTGGAAGCAATGAATATACACCCTCTCACCCCCATTTCCTGGGCAGGTAATGATAATTGAACTCATAAGGCTATGACGATATGTCTGGCGTCTGAAAATACTCACTAGTGGAAAGTGGATGGTACTGAGCTGTATTGTCCTATGATCTTATAATTGGAAATTAATCGTAATACAACAGATGAATAAATTCTGTTTCAAAGCTAAGCCTTGCCCCCTACGTGCAGTATGCAATACAATATGCAATCGAAATTCTTACAAATGCCGAGAAGATAATATCGTTTGGCCCGCTGTGAAACCTTCTACTCTTATTTGAAATTATCCTGTGGTTCTAAAGCATGATGAAGAACAAGATAAAATATATCATCTATACTTTCAATTATTTGTTGGCAGACTTCATTAGACATGCCCAGGCACCATCATTGCCTATGTCTAAAGCAGATAGTCAGTAGATTACAACATTAACTTATTCGGTTTAAACCATGAAAAGGAGAAAAGCGAGTTTAACTTTAAATTTACCGGATCAAGAGTCACGGTATTCGTATATCAGGGAAATACTACAGATCAGTGTTTATGGTCAGAGGTGGGAAATGTGTAAAATTGAAGACATTAGAGTGGTAACGAAAGCTTGGCATGAGTTTTAAGGTGCCAGACTCAAGCCATGTGCCCACCACTCAGGAGAAAGAATGAAAGAACTTGACCATGGACCGATTATTTATGACACTCACATGATAGATCGTATTCGCTGTTATCACCATCTTGTTGATCAATGACCTAGTATTTGTTATTGGGTCACTTTAGTGGCCTATCAGGCTGACATGATGAAAATTTATTCGTGACGGGCGCAAGCCCTGCTCTCAGAGAGCATGACACGGAGAAGACTAGCTTCTCCGGCGACTATATGTAACGATAACTCAGTTTGTCATTAGGACTACTAATGAAGTGGGTGCATTCGCTGATACCACTCGAGATCTTGGTGCTAGGGACTTTCACCCTTCCTTCAACCGTTAATATCCACCAAAGGGAAAACAAGAAAACCCTTTGGCTACCATAACATGCCTTGGCCATCTTGTATATAGCCGCCGCGCGAGATATGGCCTCACAGTCCTCCATTTCTAGAGTGAGGTAGATGTCCAGGCTACCCAGACTTTAATTCAGGGAGCTGACGACCAGGAGGTGGACCAAAACATCATCCATCGTTGCCTATTTTTAGAGTGTCGGTTGCACTATCCGAAATCGTTGCTTCTGCACACACAGAAAATCTTAAGTCGAAGACACTCGAAAAATGTGCGTCCCAGCATGCCCATTTGTGACCTCTTCACTCGTTGGTCCCACGTCCTAATTGCCTGTCCTCCCTCAAGATGTGAAGCCCCATTAGAGCAACGGTCCCCCTATAGACCAAGACCCGAGCTTTGTAGATTGTGACTTGAATTTCTCCTTGCAGGCATACATAGCATCGTAAATGTATAGTGGGAGATAGCCGGTTTTTAATGAGGCCTATGCCCGATTGAAATTGGAGTGACACCATTATCGGTATTTGAGGCGACGTGGTGTGGTATGATTGAGGTGGAGGACTCGCATGGCAATGATTGGTCCGACATTGACAATAAGTCGTCAATTTTAGATGTGCTTGTGAGTGCTATCGACTTCGATTTGGATGCGATTATTCTTGGCTATCCCAGATATGCAGGGCATACTGAGCGATTACATCGGCACCATTGGAAGGTGAAGAATTCGTCTTGGCCGGCCTGCGATAAAAAATTTGGGGCATATTTTTCCATTGAGATTGCTATTGATGAAGCCTAGATTGTGTGTGTGTGTGTTTTATTGTACTACTTGAGTCTATGACTATCTAGCACATTGGGCTCCTCTCTGACCCAGGCCACACCTTGTACAGTGCTCCTATCCTCTTTTGTTACTTGAAAGATCATTGATATATTCCCCTTGATGAATAGCCATTCAGCTCAGTATTTACCCGTGGAATTCAGCCACCTTTTCCACGGAACCTTCTACCCAAAAAAAATAAAAATGGTAGCAATGGAAACTGCGTGCGCGGGAAAAAGTCTCAAAAAACCTGCAGCCCCAGCCAGGCGAGGCCTATACACCGGGACCACATGAGGTGCGCATATTCATCTATATCTCCCTTCTTTGTAACAGTCGAGGCCGACTTGATCCAATCCACCATCTCCGTATCGGGTGCTGGGTACGCTCCGGAAACTCATCGGATGGCTTTTCCTCCATGATCAAGGATGGGTGACGAGTAGAGCTCCGACCCTACCATCTGATCTGATCGTGGTTAACTTCATGATAGTGGTGATAGGGGAATGTGTTGAGAGATGAAGACGATACAGACCGCGAAAGCGATTGGGAATCCTCTTCGAAGTGAGGACTTTGTTACTCAATCTCGGCTCTGCAGACTCTACAGTGAGAGCTGGAGGTTCGTAGGGGACACCACTGACAGGTGTTGAGAATAGTCCCCCAAGCCTAGATTCAATTGCTGAGTAGCACAATTTACAATGAGCTGCCTCTCAAATTAGAATTCTGTTTGCAAACGTCTGAAGTAGAAATTATTCTGGCTCTATATTTCCTTAATTGCCTGAATTCTTTCAGGGGTTTGTTGTGAACAAAACCAATTGAGGCTATAAAACATTATGGAAGTTGTCGGTTTATCTAAAACGTAAGAGTTGATTTGTCATCATGAAGGGATCACATGATGACTTCAGCATAGATGCACTAACCAGGATCCATAGTACATATAATTCATTTTTCTTGTAAATGGAATGTAGTCTCCTCTGGGGAAATAAATGTAGGGACCGAAGTATTGCATAAGATTGCGATACTGGACTGGATTGTAATTAGTGCAGAACTGCTAGAAAATTTCGCTGCGGGCTTAGCTCGACAGCGCGTCCTTCGCCCCTAGGGAGGTTTTTGGAGACTATCGGAAGATAGTTTCGCCGCGGACGTTAAATGCTAAAATAAAATAAAATAAATTCATTTTTCTTGATTTGGCGCCTTGAGGCCCATGCAGGTTCCATCGGAAGATGTGCACTTAAGTAGGATGACTCGAGTTGACGATTAGAGCACTCACACTCAGATTTCATTTGCAGACACCACTCGAGGTTAACTCTTACGGCGTATAAACTCTTCCGTGCATACCCACCACAGGGAAAAGCGTCAAAAACCTGTGGCTATCCGGATGTTCTTTCATCATCCCATATGAAAGATATCACCGCGAGAGAGAGTGGTATGTGGGTCTGACTGGAATCGAACCAGCTTCATCATGTCTCAAAAGGGGTGGGCGTTCAAACTACCCAGCATCAATCTGGTAGAACGGCCAAGATGGAGTACCACTGCACCGTCCAATCCTCATCCACAATATGGCTGTGAATCCTATTTAGCGTAGTAGAGAAGACAATCATGAACATTTTCGACCGACACAGAATCGTACAACTTTTTACTGAATCATTACGATCGATCGTGAAACCACGCCGTAGTAATTCCAACAGAAGTGATGGAGCAAATTTAGGCGGCTATAAGTCAGCAAAAAAAGTTTGAATTTTTGAATCATGAAGGTAGCTGATGTTATTGTGAAGCTACAGAGAAGAGAGACTAAAGATAATAAGTTGTCTGACGGGCAGAGGGTGTCCCGCGAAGTTAACCACAATCCTGATTGAGATAATCTGCATGGGTAGATTAAATTACGAGACGAATGATAGACAACATGTGCAAGATGATTCTATCAAACGCTGAAGCACGTAGCCTAGAGTGATGAAAGTCTTAAACTACGACACACGCGAAGTGAGCTATTGGAGGGCAAGACTGAACACCTGTACGCGGTGTCCTCTACGAACCTGAGATTGAAATATTCTCCCAGAGCCAAGTTCAGTCAAATTTCGCAATATCAAAGAAGTTGGCCCACGAGGCAAAAATTCGAATTACTCCACCATGTCAATCTTTCACTCCCAAAGAGTCCGATTCTCAACTAAGCTTCATCAAGTCTACAAGTACGACCTGGTACATCCTCATTCCAATGATCACACCACTCCTCGACCTTCTCTGGTCTCAGTTGACCACCATATACACGCCCACGCCGATATTTACACCCCCAGGAGGAAGCAAAGCGTGGCGCACAAATCTGGAAGACAGTTCTTTGGGATGGACGTGAGAGGGATCAGGACAAATTTACAAGATGATGCAGAAGAGGGATACGTTTTCGACAGGCGTGAAATTTCGAATTTTGGCATCGAGTTTAACGGATTGAGCTTTGTGCGCGCCAAGGCTTCGCTTGCGAGAGTGCAGCTCACACTATAAAAACAAGCAGACGATGGAAGGCGTAGTGATCCGCCTCCTGGTGGTGTTCTCTGGTATGGTTTGAGTAGCCTGGGCACCTACTCCACTTGGGAAGGAGACATCTCAGATCACATATCGCGCGGAGAAAAGTTGAAAGATGATGAAGGCATGTCTGGATAACTCAGGGTTTTTGAGACGTTCCCCTGGGTGGGTATTCACGGATGAGGGTTGACTTGGGGTGAAGAAAAAGCCGCCATAACTTCGCAGTGGTACTTGCAAATGAAATCCGAGGCATGGGTGCTCTTCCCACACGTTGAATCATCTATTCTGTACTTTTCTTTGATATTGTGTCATAGCTAGATAGCTGCACACGCAATTAAAATCTGATGCAAAAAAAAAAAAAAAAGAAGTGAGCTATTTTGAAGGCCGGACGAGATATAGCATTAGAAGACTCAATTATAGTCCGGGTTTGTCAAAGAATTCAAGTGGGGCCAAACTAAGAAGTTTTTATTATAATATGAGGTTACCTAGAGGAGGGCAAGACTGAACACTTGTACGAGGTGTCCTCTACGAACCTGGGAGTGAAATACTCTCCCAGAGCCAAGTTCAGTCAAATTTCGCAATGTCAAAGAAGTTGGCCCACGAGGCAAAAATTCAAATTACTCCACCATGTCAATCTTTCACTCCTAAAGAGTCCGATTCTCAACTTAGCTTCATCAAGTTTACAAGTACGACCTAGTACATCCTCATTCCAATGACCATACCTCTTGTCGACTTTTTCTGGGCTTAGCTGGTCGCCAAATACACGCCCGCCCCGATATTTATACCCGACGGAGGAAGCAAAACGTGGCGCACAAATCTAGAAGACTATTCCTTGGGATGGATGTGAGAGGGATTAGGACAAGTTGATAAGATGATGCAGAGGATGGATACAGTCTCGACGGGCGTGGGACTTTGAACTTTGGGAAGGACTTTTTACAATTTGAGCTTCGTGCGCGCCAAGGCTTCTGTTGCGAGAGTGCAGGCGACACTATAAACATCGCCATGATTGGATGGTGCGGTGGTACATCGTCTTGGCCGCTCTGCCGAGTAGAGTCTGGATAGCTTGGACACATATCCCACTCGAGACACTAGATCGCTGGTTCGAATCCGGCAAAACACAACCACATTTCTCGCGGCGCTGGTATGCATGGATGACGAAGGTATGCTTGGATAACCAAAGGTTTTGAATTTCCCTTTGGTGTGTACTTACAGAGGAGGGTCGACTGTTTGTATAAGCGAACATACCTCACAGTGGTATTTGCGAATGAAATCCAGAGTATGAGTGTCTCTAACGTCAAAAGAGTCATCCAACATGTATACATAGCACCGGTCACGTGTCATAGCTTTATAGCTCAATACACATTAAATGATTTAAAAAAAACAATGACGCTCTGTCGACACATTTCTGATATTTCAGCTCGACCTTCGGAAAGGAGTTGGAAGGAGGCTAGAAAGGCAGAGTGTCAATTCTCCTATATACATACATGTCTGCAGCGTCCAGCAGGCCGGCTAGTTCGAACGCTTCAGAAGGATCACTATGTCTTCGGATTTAGTCCTAATGTCGGTATTAGGAGAGCCCCGCACCCAGTGGTTTTTGCGAATTTTCCCTACTGCCATACACCCGCAAATGGCCATCGTTTCGTTGGCTGGAGAGGGGATATAATGAAAGGCAAAGGGCTTCTCCAAGTGCATGATCGAATGAGGGCTTGTAAGGGGTGGTACTGTTTGAGGGGAGCTGTATGGGAGGCATAGGAGGGGGTATACTTCTGGGATAGGTATCCATGGCCTGTGGGCACAGAGGATCTGCATGTCCTACATAGTCATAGACTAAGACAGGATAATAAAATGAATCAAATAAAATGCTATTGCTTCGTTCCCTCACAGTGACCGATCATTGTTTCACCAAACTTCACGTTATATATTCATAAAAAAAAATTATTCATTCTGTATACTGTTGTAAAAATCTGAGTCCATAACTGCACACAATTTCAGGGGGTAACTGTGCACCAGCAAAGTTAACCCCTTAGAGTCTGATCACTATTGCCTCCTGGTCGCTACACACTAACATCTGTCACAGATCAACTATAGAAAGCAGGGAGCATTTGTATGGATGATGGTATATTAACAATTCAACTATGTAGAACTAAGCTACAGATACTTAGCCAGGTATTTATACAGATTACTACACTCCAAGCCCTTCTATCTAAGGTCAGTTCATTTCTAGATAATTCCAGTTGCAACTCTGAGAATATGGTTTCTAGTAGCTTCTCCAAGTTTCAGTTACAGTCTTGTTCATGTCAAATCTTATCTAGTACCTTCGACAGTGGTTCTGGTATGTTCTGCAAGGCTATTGCGCCGGCCCACCCCTGGTGGTTATACGCCAGTACTTGCCATTACTGGCTACAGGAAAATACCGGCTTCTTCGCCGTTACAACATCAACGTGTTCACTACAATGAGGACACCATTGTAGTTACTCTAGATATCATAAAAAATAAAATGTAGAGGAATAAGGGTAGGAACTCCTGCATATAGATAGGGCCTTTTGACTCTCAGTATCCACATCCATCATCCACAAATACAATTCACCATCAATCAATCATCTTCCTCTGTCCAAGTGATCTATTGAATTCTCCTATACCTATCAGTATTCTATTCACAAGGTGACGTCTCCCTATCCATCGCCCTCAGCCTTTCAATAAATACCCCTCAAATTTTTCCATGACTCTCGTTGTAGATCTTCCAATTAGTCGTAATCAACATCCTTTGACGGAGAAAGGCGATTTTTCAATCTCGAGCCTAATGATTTACTATGGTATTTGAAACATTCAGATTTTTCAACTAAAACGCCACTCACTCTTTTTGTAGAGCGCGATCCCTTGACCAATTGCTTTATTTTGTAATGTGGATCCTCCGAATTAGAATTGTTATTTGATAATTTTTTTGGATTCAACTTCATTGGAAGCTCACTCTTTTTCAAAAGCATTACATTCTTACCAACAATCTCATTATACCGTCTAAGTGCCCAAGCTAAATGATCATTTGACTCTAAGAGATTCGTGAGTAAAAACCATGCAGGCTTGTTTTTGTCGCATTGTTGGATGACTTGCATTTCTCCTTGGTACCACACAAGTGCTCGTACTATTATGCCGCTGGTGAAGATGATTGAATGTCGGGGTAATACTAAGTCTTCAACTTTGACTGCAATGTCTGCATTTACTTTGATCGGTATAGGTGTTGATGATTCTTCAAACTTTGGCGCAAAACAATTATTAACCCCTATGAGCGAGACCTTACGCTCATAAGCCAAAGTTGCAATAGCTGCAGGAGTACACGAACGAGAACCTATCACGTTCGACATTTTAATTTCGTCTTTTACTCCGTTTTGTTTGTTTTCTGTATTTCGAAGTTGGAGATATTTAAAGCAAGATTCGTAGTTTCCAACCCTTTTGTGTGATTGAAATATTTCCTGCTTTGACATAGGCCGAGCTGTACCCATAATTTTTGACATCATTAGTTGATATGGCATATTTCCTGAGCAATAAATTGCATGATGATAGCCTACACTTTTAGAACTATCAATGGCCATAAAAATGCCGGAGTTATCCTCTGGTTTGGGAAATCCTTCCATGCTAGATTTGTAAACACTAATTTGAGATGACTTTCCCGGGAATCTTCTATCTATGCCAGTGAATATCATGTGGGTTGCAAAATTTGGCAAGACATGTTGAATAAGAAGAACTGCGTTAATGCAATACATCATGCGACTTCCTCGTAAATATCTTGAACAGAATGGAATACAATTTAACTTTATATGCCAGTGAGTCTTTAATTGTGCAGCACTCAGGTCTCGTAAAGATTGTTAAAACAAATTTGCTGTCCCAACCATCAACGGACTTTTAAACAAGAGCTATGTTTTGCGATTGTATTTAAACATGAAATATAAAGCTTTCGTTTTTATTCTGTAGATGTGTACCCAGAAGGATTTTGTTGCTGTCGCAGCGTGTGAAGAAGTTGGATGTGTTGATGATTCACACACTGTGAACGCAGAAGGAAGACTTAGTATAAGTCATCTATTCAAGGGATTTCAAGGGGTCACCGATCTGCTCAATGAAAATTTGAAATCATACTATTCGTGTTATATTGCTTATAAGACATAAAGCATGCACCAAATAGACATGACAAGTATGATATCCTCAGACACTCGATAAACATGTGACCGGTATCTACCGTTCATCTATTATATGAGTCATTATAGCAAAAACCCATTACAGTATGGAACACTCTGCACTCTTATCATTCTCAGAACATGCCGGAAATAGGCCATCACCTTTAGGGCCTAAATTCGGCCCATTCCAGCTTTTAGCCACTTCATGCCGTCCTTGACTTCTAAAGTTCCTTGGTATTGATTTCAGAGCGGCTCTTCTGCATCGATGTCCGATTTTACTGCGTTAATCTTGGGAGCAAGGGTGTCCCTTTTATCTTTAAATATACATGCAACAAACGCATCATGAGGACCTGCTTAACTACCCCTTCATCTCTGAACAAATCTACGTCACTAATTAGTCCGTCATAATAAATTTTATTGGGAGAGCCTGATACGGAGTGGTAATTCTTAATCTACTTGTGAATTTACCACCCCTCTCCCCAATAGGGCTTTGATGAGACCTTGATACAATTTTGAGATATAATCAGAGGCCCGGGAGATAGTTTGACAAGTTCAATACGATTATTCAGTAGGGATTTGATGCGATGTTGTATGATAAGATTTTCCTGAAATTATGACCATCTCATCTCGCTGTCTTAATATTTTAATCTCAGAATTGACTAGGAATCCGCTGCCATTTAAATGGAGTCCGATACAAAATCGATTAGGAACTGTTTGAACGCTTCTATGTGGAGAGTCGTGATATTTGGCTGAAATAAAGACATGGGTCTGTCTAGATCCTTCTGATTGGTCCGAAGTGTAGGCCTTCACGCACGGGTGTTGATAGCACTAGGGCCTCGCTACCTGCATTGGATAAGACTCTGTAGATGGCTTTGGGAGAGAATGAAGAGACAAGTAACCAACCATTATCTGCATGCTAGAAGATTCAGCCTGTATCAACATTGTCCGAAGCCTTTTTTTCGTAAATGTGTTGGAAAATGAAGTATAATCCGATTAGTAACGATTATCTTCATTACGTAAGGGTTCCCACCGCAATCCCTACATCCACTATTTACACTCTAGTCCCATCTCCCCTGTAGGATTTGCATAAACAGGTACTAGTGTGGCTCTACTTCTACGACAAGAGAACACAGCGCAAATGACAGCTCACTACTCACTGATTTACCTCATTATATTCTTGCGAAGTTTTTTATGGTCTTTATTGATACCTTTTCATATGTAAATAAATAATCAATTCACTCTTCTCCGCTCTGCTGTAAGTGATCCTCTATCTCTATTAAATCAAATGAAGAACATTCGTGTCCCAGATGTAAAGTTGCATACAATGATTTACTCATTTGTGAGAACATATTGTCAAATGTCCATCCTAGTACATCTATCGACACAAAGGGCAACGCTTTTTGTGCATAGATTTACCACATAGTTGCCGAGGCTGACGCTCACTGTCGAAAAATGAAGTAACCGATGGTAATTGCTAATAAGATTTCAGAGGGATCCGGAACATAAATTTCGTCGTCTATTTTGAAGCTTCTGGTATGCATACTGCTAGTAAAGAATCTTTAACTCAGATTTACGTAGTTTGGTCTCCACGTTACAACGTGTTTGATAAAACTCTCGGCTGCTGTCACTACACGGTAAAATTGTGCTTGAGTCGAGTAAAAAGGATAAAATCACTTTACACGTCTCGTGTCTAAAATTTCCCGCCTCTTGTTTTAATTATGAGTCAAAGATAACTAATGAGCTAATACCCGTAGTAAAATTTATTCGCCAATGGTGATAAGCTTGTGGTTTGATTGACTTTTATTGAAAAATTGTATTTCTAATGGAGAGGAATGATATACAAGATGGAGATGTCAGTGCACTAAATTTTACCCAGCGCCGCTGTCACTCTAACCAAACGTGATCCCCGTGGACCACATATTACAATACTTAAGCTGGGTGCGTGTCAAAAATTAACTCTGAAGGGCAAAACGACAAGTCTAATTCGAACGGAATCATGGAATGATGTAACCAATTCATTCCTTTCATTTTTTTTAAATCCATTTTTTTCATTTAATACCATCTGTAAATCATGAGTTTGGATGGCAGGCTGTTATCCACTTACAATTTATCCTTTGAGCGCAGGATGCTATGGTCTTGACGTTCATTTGTGTATTGTTATTTATGTAACTTACAATGGTGGGTGCTTTAGATCACGTCACAGTAGATGCACATTACTGTGGAACTAAACCATCGGCTGTTTAGTGTTTAATGCATATGTGGGTATTATAGACCCAACTAGAACTCGATAGAATAGAGATAATGGAATCAGCGAGAGATCGATGGACTGAGGGAGAACGAGATGGTCATTTCTCGTATGAGAGATTTAATATCACAAGGGAATGTTCTAGCACTAGGTTGTGGACAACACAGTAAGTCTGGAGCAAGATATAGGGAGGTCTCAACCTCCAATCATCCTTTGAAACCAAGTTTCCTTAATACGAGAATATAGAGTCAAGTCTTACGTATCACGAGAACACACGCAACAGCGGTTATAGAGACCTACTGTGAGTATAACTTCCCGAAGAGTATCCATCATCCACTCCATATAGCCTAGTTATTACAACAGTTTGCCATATTGGGTCTACGTAAGCGCCAACATGACGGGCAGTTAGGAGACTATTCTCTGTAACTTTGAGTGTTCTCTCCTACGAAGCTCTAGCTCTATCTAGAGTCCGGAGAGCTGAGATTAGTTAAAATATCCTCACTTCAACGAGGATTCCCACTCGCTTCTGCGGCCTGTATCGTCTTCAACTCTCGTCACAGCTCCCTAACACCAGTATCATGAAGCTGACAATTATCGGATCAGATGGTGGTGTGACGCTCTGTATGAGCTCACAAACCTACCTCATATGGTAAGATAGGTAGCAGATCCTAATATCTATTAGCTGTGTCTTTTTAGGCCAGTTGGTACTGAGGTAAAGCTATCTGACTACGGTTACATGTCTTGGGCGTGAGGATTACGGCACGAGCATAACAGGCAGGGTCGATGTCACCTGCTTGGTTTCCAGAGAGGATCTAGTTCTCGATGCCGCGATTATGAACATGATCAGATTAGCCTCTAATGCTACGGAGAAGGGTATCTGTTGGGGTACTTAAAAACTGTGCATAGAACGTAAACTGTATCTCAAGTTTCTGCGGCTGTGTCGGTGGATCTTGTCTATTCTCCTATCTGCGAAAGATACTAATACTCATTATGAACGATGACTAATCCATGACCAACATTGTTTTGTTTTGTTCATTTACGTGCTAGGTATAGTAATTCCCGTTGCACTCCTACTGGAGCTTGAGCACAAGGAGGGCAAGACTGAACACCTGTACGCGGTGTCCTCTACGAACCTGGGAGTGAAATATTCTCCCTGAGCCAAGTTCGGTCAAATTTCGCAATATCAAAGAAGTTGGCCCACGAGGCAAAAATTCGAATTACTCCACCATGTCAATCTTTCACCCCCAAAGAGTCCGATTCTCAACTAAGCTTCATCAAGTCTACAGGTACGAAATAGTACAGCCTCGTTTCAATGACCACACCTCTCGTCGACTTTCTCTGGCCTCAGCCGGTCACCAAATACACGCCCACGCCGATATTTATACCCGACGGAGGAAGCAAAGCGTGGAGCACAAATCTGAGAGATAGCTCTTTGGGATGGACGTGAGAGGGATCAGGACAAGTTTACAAGATGATGCAGAAAAGGGATACGTTTTCGACGGGCGTGAAATTTCGAATTTTGGCATCGAGTTTAACGGATTGAGCTTTGTGCGCGCCAAAGCTTCGCTTGCGAGAGTGCAGCTGACACTATAAAAACAAGCAGACGATGGAAGGCGTAGTGATCCGCCTCCTGGTGGTGTTCTCTGGTATGGTTTGAGTAGCCTGGGCACCTACTCCACTTGGGAAAGAGACACCTCAGATCACATATCGCGCGGAGAAAAGTTGAAAGATGATGAAGGCATGTCTGGATAACTCAGGGTTTTTGAGAGGTTCCCCTAGGTGGGTATTCCCGGATGAGGGTTGACTTGGGGTGAAGAAAAAGCCACCATAACTTCGCAGTGGTACTTGCAAATGAAATCCGAGGCATGAGTGCCCTTCCATTACGTTGAATCATCTATTCTGTACTTTTCTTTGATATTGTGTCATAGCTAGATAGCTGCATACGCAAAATCTGGTGCAAAAAAAAGAGAGAATAAGCGAATAGCAATTGATTAGTCATCGGTGCTTCGACAATGCCACACCGCCGTAGGTATCCAGATGCAGCCCCATGTCTGTATAGCATTTTAGATTAGATTAGATTAGATTTGTATTATAGTCCTAACTAAGTCAATGACTATTGAGGACTCCTAGAATCTACAAATAAGATACTAGCTACATGTTTTAAGTTCCAACTGTTTAAATTTACGCTTTGCTCTCATGGACAGTGAGGGACAAGCCTTGTTAGTATACCATATCCCTAGCCACTTAACACGAATCAAACCCTTTTCAACGATGTATGTCTCTATTCTTATTTGGTGTGCTACACTCTGCGTGCTATAGAAATGACTGTAATTTAACTGAAAATTTCTGTGTAGGTTTTACGGGGTGAATGGTTGCTCTTCATCAAGTGGTTCAATTGATGTATGTATTCTTATTGTATCTATCTAGAGTAATGATACAAACCGATGAGAAAATACATCAAGCTAGCTTTCCAGCCTTTCGCACTTATGTCAAGCCAAGCCTAGAATCCTGTAATTCCTGACCCGAGTTTCAGGTAGTATAGGATTGTGCATCACTCATATATGCGTTGCGTGCACTCTTTTAAAAACTAAAGTTTAAGTTATCTTGTTTATGAGTCCAAATAATGCACAATAGAATTGAATTCGAATTGCTTCTCTAGAGCATGTCAGAGATATGAGCAAGTTCAAAGACTCAGCAGAACAATCATGAGATTTAGAGTAATTCTATTATGGAATCAATAATACGCATTCCGGGTAATATACGCTTACTTAGGTATGTTTTTAACATTATTTGTGATTAACCAACATGAAGACAGGGCTTCAGAGATAAAACATTTCATAAAGCTTTATCAAAAGCTTAAATTTGCCCAAAATATTACGTTACCAATCCAAAGGGTCTGTCAGCTTGTCACCCTGGTTGGTTTTAGGAATTGGAATTGCAGCTACTGCTAACATTCCTCCGTCCCGTCTTTTCAAATATCCGCTCCCATTTAGCCAAGGTGTAAGTCGTGTCATTTTTTTCTCAAATTCTGATATCTTATCTTCCATTTTCATCGTCAAGCCAATATCATCCAAACCATTGATGAGGCAATACTTTCGAAATTCTTCGACTTCAAAACTACAAATTGGCTGCCCTGTTTGTGATTTAATGAGCTGGTTAGGAAGATCAATTTCGATTTCATTTCCTGCACGCGCTTCTGCGATGATAGCATTGAGGTGTATGGAATTGCTGATGGGTATTGGTAACATGCCGTTTTTGAAGGTATTGTTGTAAAAAATATCAGCAAAAGATGGTGCGATTATACACCTGATCCCAAAATCTAACAAAGCCCATGGTGCATGTTCGCGAGATGAGCCACACCCAAAGTTGGGGCCTGTTACAACTAGAGTGCGAGCTTGGCGGTAGGGCTCTTTGTTCAGGATAAAGCCAGCCCTCTCGCTTCCGTCGGAATTATAGCGTAATTCGTAAAACAAAGATGAGCCTAATCCCGTTCGTTTAATAGTCTTCAGAAACTGTTTCGGAATTATGGCATCCGTGTCAACGTTTGAGCAGTCGAGGGGCGCTGCGAAACCCTTCAGGGTACTGAAAATAGGGAGTCCTGCAGAGCGAGATTGAGAATCTGCAGTATTCGAGTTTAGAATTCTATCAACGGCTGTATCATCTAGTGTTTCTTGCTCGATATTATCCGCCATAAGTTGCGTATCTTCATGCGTCTTGGCCTCTATGTGTTCCTGCGGGAGAACTTTGGATGGATCGGGATTTTTGGTAATTAATTTTCGTACGTCTGACAGCTTGCCTTCAATGGCACACGCAGCAGCAGTTACTGGAGATACCAGATGAGTTCGTCCCCCTGCTCCTTGCCTTCCCTCGAAATTTCGATTGCTGGTGCTTGCACATCGCTCTTGTGGCAACAGAATATCTGGATTCATGCCAAGACACATACTGCATCCTGCTTCACGCCATTCAAATCCTGAATCAGTAAATATCTTATCAAGTCCCTCAGATTCAGCCTGCTTCTTCACTAGACCACTTCCAGGGACGACTAATGCCCGCTTGATATTAGGAGCAACCCTACGACCCTTTAGAATAGTGGCAGCAGCCCTTAAGTCTTCGATACGAGCGTTAGTGCAGGAACCGATAAAAATTTTATCCAAAAGAATGTCTTGCATAGGGGTGCCAGGAGTTAGCCCCATGTATTCTAACTTACGATTGCCCGCAATCCGCTTTTCTTCAGTGGGAAAACTAGCGGGATCAGGAACGAAGCCGGTAATAGGCACGATATCCTCTGGACTGGTTCCCCATGTTACTGTTGGAGATATTTCAAGCGCATCTATGAAGACATCTATATCGTACTTGGCGTTCGAGTCTGATTGGAGACTCTTCCAGTAGTGGACGGCTTGGTGCCATTCAGCAGAATCAAACTTTGGTGCCAAGGGCCGATTTTTGAGATACTCGAAAGTGATATCATCTGGGGCCACCATTCCAGCTCGTGCACCACCCTCAATTGACATGTTACATATCGACATGCGTGCTTCCATACTTAGAGCCCGAATGGTCGAACCGCAAAACTCAATTACCGCACCAGTTCCACCGGCAGTGCCTATTTTTCCGATAACATGGAGAACGACGTCCTTGGAACTAACTCCAGGGCTAAGATCGCCTTCTATCAGGACCCGCATATTTTTGCTTCGCTTTGTGATCAAAGTTTGCGTAGCAAGAACGTGCTCTACCTCACTCGTTCCAATACCGAAAGCCAAAGCTCCAAAGGCTCCGTGAGTTGAAGTATGGCTGTCACCGCATACAACAGTTGTTCCCGGTAAGGTAAAGCCTTGTTCAGGGCCAATGATATGCACAATACCTTGGCGCATATCTCCCAAGCCAAAGTAAGTGATACCAAACTCCTTGACGTTAGTTTCAAGAGTTAGGCATTGTAAGCGAGAATCTTCCTCTTCTACGAACGTGGCAATATTTTTGAGTGCTTTCCGGGAAGTCGTTGGAACATTCTGTAATAAAGTCACTTTATGCTGTAATTCTCAGTGAAGGGACGTACATGGTCAGTGGTTGCAAGGGTGCAGTCAGGTCGTCTGACTTTACGAGCGGCATTCCTTAAGCCCTCAAAAGCTTGCTATATTTCTCGTCAGAATCTTGTGATACTGACCTAGTTGAGAAGTGGTTGCATACGGGTGAAGTAACCTCATGAACCAGATGTCGATCTAAGGGTTAAATTTTAGCAATTGGAAAACCCATCAAAGACAAGTTAACACACCGATGTAGAGTAAGATGGTACCATCGGGCCTCTCATCTACAATATGACTTTGAAGAACCTTGTCGTAAAGAGTGCGCGGTGGTTCTTCATTAGCCCGCATTTCTTAGGGTGGTTATGAGCGTTGGAACTGTGATAAATTGGGCTGAAGATAACTTTGGTGATCATTCAGAGTAGCTAATGGTAAGATTAATCGTTCATATGAGAAGGCTGTAACTAAATCATCGTTATCATCAATATTTGAAGCTAAATAACAAAAAATTGGAGCGATATCGGAGAGATGGCACATACCGAGCTTGCCAATGAAAGATGAGAGATTTGCAAATGGCTCGGACTTTCCGGATCCCTCCGAATCTCTGTCGCGGAAACTTATTGTGCAGGCAGGGACAAAGAAGGCTGAGTTTAGGTCAACATCTATTTTTGGACTATGGATATTGTGTACGTGGGGCTATTTGTGGCTATCTAGCTTTCGTTATGGTTTAATCTGGGCTGATCACGCTACACTGTGCAGTGGAGCCCACCCTGCCAATCGCAGGTGTAGTCCAAAACCTACAATAATGCTTGTGTCATGGAGTCAAGCAGCCGTACCCTGTCACGTCATTGAAATGATCGATAACAGTGGGCCGGATGGCGATGAATTCTTTTTTTGGATCTTTCATTTCAAATTCTGCTGCTTGGCCATAGCACACGATCTGAAACTTGGGTACCTGATAGGTAACTCTTGTGACTTTAGGGTCCCCCAATATATATATATATATATATATATATAGTTCATTATCCTGATTTGGCGCTTTGAGGCCCATGCAGGTTTTTATCGGAAGATATGCACTTAAGTAGGATGTCTCAATTTGACGATTAGAACACTCACACTCAGATGTCATTTGCAGATACCATTCGAGGTTAACCCTTACGGCGTATAACCTCTTCCGTGCATACCCACCACAGGGAAAAGCGTCAAAAACCTGTGGCTATCCGGATGTTCTTTCATCATCCCACAAGAACGATATCACCGCGAGAGAGAGTGGAGTGTGGGTTTGACTGGAATCGAACCAGCTTTCTCCTGTCTCGAATGGGGTGGGTGTTCAAGCTACCCAGTATCTACTTGGGAGAACGGCCCGGATGGTGTACCACTGCACCATCCAACCCCCCCAATATAACTGTCCCCAAAAAGTCTTCCGCAAAGGTTCTGGTATCAGTCTGCAAGAAAGTCACTAGGAGAACCAGTAGTAAAAAACTCTGCAACTGCGATTTAGATTAATGTGAAGTCAGATAGGAATATATGAATTATTTATTTGTGGCCGGGTACGTCAAGTAGCTATTGTAGGCATATATAACTGGTACGGTGCTAAATAATTTCTTAAAACTAACTTCAAAGACACCTATACCCTAGAAATCATTCGCAAATATCACATAGATCAGCTTGTGTAAACTTCACGGCTGACTCTTATGTCATTCTAAACAGGTTATTTTTCGTAAAAGTTTCTTATTAGCTCGTCACCCAAATCTTCACCGACGGGAAGTTACTGGGTCGAGTCAGACAAGTCTGGATAATTACCGCATAGATCTGCCATGTTAGTGTTCATAGATATTTTGTATGCCAGTCTATGTACTTCCTTGCAGCCAAACTCAACTAGGACCGGGTCGAGTCAAGTTGACTACCATACACAGTGTGAGGAGCCTGGATCCACTATAATGATCAGTCCGTTCAAGTTCGCTCCAGTGTCATCAGACAAAATCGAATTTCGATAAGTCCTAGGCGGCCTGCTTGAGCTAGAGTTTCTGCCAGTTACTCGCACTGCCCCTCCCTTACAGTCGCAGCGTCTCTTACAAATAAAGCGTCATTTTCTCTAGAAAAATCCTTCGTCAATTGACAAGGGATTCCTGATCTTTCTCCAATATTCTCAGGTGGTTTGTATCAGTTTACAATTTAATTGTTTGCAAATCCTCTAGACTTTCACTTCACCGTCGTGCTCTCAACATAGAATGGTCCAAAGTCAAGTGAGAGCCTAAGATCGATCCACCGCCGATCCGTATAGGGGTGTGCTGGGCACCAACGTAGTCAATTAAGTGCGAGCGACCCTGGTTCCCTACCGGAATCTAAAGAATTCGACGCAGAAGTAATAAGTGTGTTGCTAGCTCTGAGGCTAGCGATAGAGGTTGCTGGGTACAGCCCAATACTTGTACTGACAGTTAATTAGGCAGCTGTGCAAGCTTCGAAAACTGGTGTGTCGAATTCTTCACAAGTAGCGGTGGAGGAGTTTACAGGTCTCTGCTGGAATCACCAGGGGATACAAGTCCGATGAATCCCAGGCCATTAAGGAATTTCAGGCAACGAAAAATCAGACGCGCTAGACAGATCAGCCTTGTCTAAATTTACATGCAGATTTGAAACTCGCTCTCTGAATCTTGACATGGATTTTGGCGAAAGACAGAGTATGACATTTGCATCCCTTGGGCGACAAAACTCATCGACTGTCAATGTTGTACACTAAAGACCTCCAGCCTTCACTATAGAGTCTACAGAGCTGAGATTGAGTAACACCTTCGTCGTCACTTCAATGATGCTCCACACTTGCTTTCGCGGTCTGTATCGTCTTCATCCCTCAACACAACCCACTATCACCATTATCATGAAGCTAACCACGATCAGATCAGATCGTAGGGTCGGAGCCCTACTCATCACTAACCCTTAATCATGGAGGAAAAGCCATCCGATGAGTTTCCGGAGCGTGTCCAGCACCCGATACGGAGATGGTGGATTGGATCAAGTCGGCCTCGAATGTTACAAAAAAGGGAGATATAGATGAAAATGCACGCCTCATGTGGTCCCGGTGTCTAGGCCTCGTCTTGCTGGGGCTACAGTTTTTTTGAGACTTTCTCCCGCGCAGGAAGTTTCCACTGCTATCATGTTTCTAATAATTTTGTTGGGGTTGAAGGTTTAGTGAAAAAGGTGGCTGAATTCTATGGGTAAATACGAATCTGATTGGCTATCAATCACGGAAAATACATCATTGATGTTTTAAATAATTAAAGAGGAGAGTAGCACTGTTAAAGGCGTGGTCTAGCTGAGAGAGGAGCCTAGCGAGCGAAATAATCTTTGAGTTAAGTAGGACAATAAACCATACACATACATTTGCAGCACTTAATACTTATTTAATTCGCTAGCGTAGGAGAGGCCGAACAGGTGGTGGTTGGAGTATCGACCGAGGAAATACGAAAATCAGAGTTCGCACTACCATGATTGGTATTCTATCAGCCAATAGTACCCAGGACAGGCCTCGGAAACTTTACTGATTGTCACCAACAGTTTTTTCGTGAAAATGCGGAGCTAAATTGAACATGTGTACAGGAGAAGTGGCCGTAGAACCTATGATAATGTTGGCCTAGGCTACATATTTGGAGGAACTCCGGGCAAAATACGGCACCAAGGCCAAATTGATGCTAGGAAAGAAAGAATGGGAATATTTGTAGTACCATCTGACTTTAGCAAAATTTTATAGTCAAGAGAAAAACGTCTTGGGAGACAGGAATTCCAACTCGTCCATTTTTTACTATGTCGCAGCACTCTCATTATTTTCGATATCTTTAGAAAGAGGGTTACGGCGCAGGGCACCGTAGTTCGGAATTTTTATGTAATTATCTCCTCCGGCGGGTTGGATGGTGCAGTGGTACACCATCCGGGCCGTTCTCCCAAGTAGATACTGGGTAGCTTGAACACCCACCCCATTCGAGACAGGAGAAAGATGGTTCGATTCCAGTCAAACCCACACTCCACTCTCTCTCGCGGTGATATCGTTCTTGTGGGATGATGAAAGAACATCCGGATAGCCACAGGTTTTTGACGCTTTTCCCTGTGGTGGGTATGCACGGAAGAGGTTATACGCCGTAAGGGTTAACCTCGAATGGTATCTGCAAATGACATCTGAGTGTGAGTGTTCTAATCGTCAAATTGAGACATCCTACTTAAGTGCATATCTTCCGATAAAAACCTGCATGGGCCTCAAAGCGCCAAATCAGGATAATGAACTCTATATATATATATATCTCCTCCGGCCCGTAAGGCCCGATCACATGGGCAGATCTGGAACCAAAGGGCCCCACTACTCGTCACGCCAAATGGGTAAAGGGACTTCATAGCTCGTTAAAGGTATCATTTTTTTATTTATTTATTTATCTTTATTTAACGTCTGGCGGATCACGCGTCAAGCGAGTAACCCTATTAAGTCCCTATTGAGACAAAAGACGCCAGGATTTAATCTCTGGGCTTCTAAATGTTTTAAAGGAAAGCAAAAAAACAAAATTAAACTATTTAACATATAAAGGAGGTGCATTCACATAGCTACTTCCCGCAGTTTGTTAGGCTCTTATCTGTGGTGGTAAGATACTTGCTCGGCGCCATTCTCTGCGCAGGTCAACCCACACTCCCTGTTGACCTCCACTACCGGAAAAATAAATTAGACGTTAAAGGTATCAAAACAAATCAAACAGCTCTACCGTGTGTTGCAGACATCCCGGTCTGCTATGATTGCATTTTTGCTGGGATACTATTTATACTTTACCTTTGGTTATTCGCTGCTTCCAATCTCTAAACCATGATGGAGCAGGATAAGTAAAATATAGCTAGTTTTTGGATAGATCCTTGACTGTTGAGTGTAATTGAGCTTAATGATAACCTAACATACTTCCAAGGGAGCTGTGAGCTTTGTAGATAGCTTGATTGTTATTTAAACGTGCCAGTCACAAACTCAGCATCCTATTCGACACGGCACGAATACCTGACCCCGAAAGACTCGATACTACCAAGATGGCCCATTCGAAATGAACTATGAAGTATACAATTTCAAGGCCCGATGCCTGCTGTTCAGTGCCTCGCCTGATTTTCCTGATGCCGTCCACCAAGAGATCTATTCCTACGTCAACGTCATAACTCGCGTCAATTGTTTTCGTTAAGACCAATGTCATTTTCTAGAAAGAAGATTATGAAGAGCAAAGGGGACCTCTGAGTGTATGATCGAGTGAGGGGTCCTACTATTTGATGTGAGCTATATTGGAGGCATAGAAGGGGATATACTACTGGTATAGGTATCCTTGACCTGTAGGCAG